AGGATGGAAGATAGGAGAGGAGAGGAGAGGAGAGAGGAGAGGAGAGGAGAGGAGAGGATGGGAGAGGAGAGGAGAGGAGAGGAGAGCGTTACCTCCAGTGAGCATCAGGGCACATTTGCAGTGGTCACAGTTGTCGTTGTCCTGGTCTCGGGTGCTGAATCCGGTCCCGTGGGTGGCCAGACTGCTCTGTCTCCCCGCTGTGCCGCTGTAACCTCTCAGATACAACCTGAGTGACAGGAGACAAGGTGAGCAAACTGCTGGAAGACTGAGTCTTTCAGTGCTGTACGTGGACAGTAGGTATGTGTGCAGGTATACTTAATGTAGTACATGTGTATGAATATGTATAATATGTTTGTGACTGTATATACTTACATACAGTGTGTATACTGCTGTAGTGTAACTGTTACCTGTACTGCTGTCTCTCACTGGTCAGTGTAAATCGGTCGTACTGGGAGTGGGCGGGGTTATCCTCCCAGTCCCTCAGCTCCACCCTCAGAGAGTACTGACCCTGACTGGTCAGCAGGTACAGAACTTCATTACCCAGCCAGTGTTCTCCTAACACGTCCCCGAAACCCTGCAGGAGTGGAGGAGGTAACATTTCAGTCTGTAGCATTTGATATTCTACCTTTTGCCATTGCATTTTGCCTTGCCATTAACATCACTGAGCAAGTATTTACCAACCACAGCAGCAGGAAAGTGCACGGAGATATGACAATTTGCCAAAAAAAGTCTGTTCCACTTTGCAAATCAAAATACACACCCAGGTTTATGGAGCAATCTGAGTGACATACATTTCCAGGACAACATAGATTATTTCCAGGATATCTGGTCATTTTAATCAATTTCCAGATGTTTCCATGACTGGAAAACTAGTCTGTAAATGTCTCAGGACATGTGGGAACCCTGTCCAAAGAGACAAACTGACCATTTTGTATTCCCTCCAGCTTCTCTGGAAGTCCACGCTGCCGTTAAATCTCTGCTGGAAGACCGTCCAGCCTCCACCAGCCGTCTCCATGTCACAGTACACCTTGAGGAGACGACAAAGAGAGACGTGTGACTGAAATGAGCGGAGGAGCGAGGCGCTGCGGGTGGAGAATCAGCTCAGGTGTCCGTCGTACCTGCACAGGCTCAGACCTGTTGCCGATGTAGATGTGATACAGACCGCTGACAGAGTGACCGGCCTTGTAAGCATCTGCACAGTCCCTCCACATCTGGCTCCTGGGAGGCGACCCTGAACACACACACACAGAGGAATACAGCAGAGAAAATACAATAAAATGAAACAAAAAGTAGTAAAATCAAGATAGCTCTTATTTTAGTTGGCTTGTCTAAACGTGTGTGTGTGTACCTGTAGTAGTAGCCACCATGTTAATGAGTGTGTGGACAGACTCCATCAGCTGAGCCTGCTGCCTCTGCAGAGCCGTGTTGTTGCTGCTGGCGACTCTCAGCTGCCTCTCTAAAGACTCAATGGCCGCCATCTGAGTCCTGACGACAGACTGGAAGAAAAAGATTTACTCCTGTTGAGTCACTTTTTCTGTCAGACATCAGATTTATAACTATAATATAATACTTGTTTCATCCATCCATTAAAGTGGAGTCTTGATTATCTTTCTTGGTTTTTACTTTTCAGATTTTATGTGATTGTAGATTTTATGTTTTGTTTGATTTAGATGTTTTATGTTTGTGTCAGCCAGCTGAGACTAAAATAGTTTGGCTGACTAGAAACAGCAAAACAATAAAATATTTAGATCTGTATAATTTATGAGGTCAGACAGTCGCTCTTCATGTTGTACAATGAAAGCTCGGCCTTATAAATGCAGATTCATTCACATAAAATCTCCTTAAAGTGATCCTGACATTCAGATGTCATTTTTATTGATTGTACCTGCAGTCGGTTCTTCTCCTCCTTCATGTCCTCCAGCTCTCCTTTCTGCTGAGACTCCAACATCTGAACTTTACTCTCCAAACGACTGAAACACCAAACAGAAAACACACACAGAGCTTTAGACACTCGAGCAGATTGTGTGACTGAGCAGTAAATCACATCAACGTCCCCTCAAAATGCTCTTTTTTATGCCAGTGTTCATTTCTTGTTTTCATAGATAGCTGGCTGAAGGTAACATGATATGATATTAAGATATTTCCAAACAAGCTACAGAGGAGTTTGATGTTTAAATGATAAAACCAATAAGTTCTATGATACTGAACAACCTCACTGTTTGTCTGTTAGAATCACTGTTGGAAGAATAAAACAGTTTTGTGATGTGACAACAAAATTGTTAAGGTTGGCACAAAAATGAGTTTAGGGAAACATTTTGATTTTGGTTAAAATTACAACTTTGTTTAGGTTTTGGGAGCTTTGTTGTCATGGTAACAATCATAAACACGTGGTTATTTATTTTTATGTATTGATGTAGTTGTGCGTCCTGAAAAATACAATTATATTTAAAAAAGACTTCTGTAACAGCAGGATAGAGGCATTGTGGGAAATGTAGGAAATGACTAAATTACGAAGAAGTGGAGAAGGCAGGTTGAGGGAAATGGGTACACCAAAAACGTAAATTACTGTATGTCATCACGAAGCATACTGTACCTCCTGGAATGTGTCGGATTAACATTCGACTGTTTAACCAGACGGTTGTGTGTCAGAGGGAGGAAACAAATCCCAACTATTTGTACAACAAATCTGTCCGTAATGGAGCAGAGGTTGTAACTCCTGAGTTACTCCCTCTTGTTAAAGAAGCCGTAAAAACAGCGAAATAAAGATTAATAACCCAATCATCATTCTTTCTGCCAGAGCGGACTACGGAGCCCGTTATCTCTGCAGCTGAACCAGCAGTGCAGCTGCTGAAAATAGACTCCAGCCCACAGTTAGATCAACAACGGAGGAGCCAAATGAATGAAACCTGATGAAGGAGTGGCAGCAGCTTCAGAGGAAAATATGGGACACTGAAAGTGGCTCAATGTACAGTTCACACTCACTTTTCTGGCTCTGAGCGCAGTGCGGAGAACTCAAAGAGTGGTGGGGGGTCTGCAGGAGTCGGGTGGGAAAATGTGTCTTTTCTAATGTTTCCCAGAATAAGTCACAATCTGTGTGTTTTAAATTAGTTTTAGGTGGTGAAAAAGTGCTAGCTACATTATTCAAGATAAAATACCGTAAAACTTCCAATAAAAGCAGGGTCCTTAATAGACGCAGGTCTCATTTAAAAGCCTGGTGTGGCTACACGTTTTGATAAATAAANNATAAATAAACGCAGGTCTCCAATAGTACTTCTGAGCAGGCTTTTTATCAGTTCTCAAATTACACTTGTACACATGTAAGGAACAGTGTGATTAACACTGAGGTGAAGTTGCAGTCGTTTTAACCTCCCATTCTGAGCATGAGGGAGAAACAATGGTGGCAAACAACCGTATCGAGAGCCAGTGTTTGGTTTGTCTATTCTGGGCTACTGTAGAAACATGGTGGTCGC